AGCCTTCTTGTATGTCTATGTGCCAGATGTGTGCAGTCCCTGTGAAGGCCAGAAGAGGGCGTCAGAGCCTGTGGAGTTACAGACAGTTGTGAGCCACCATGTGGATGCTGGGAATCCAGCTCTGGTCTTCGGGAAGAGTAACCAGTGCTCTTAATGCTGATCCCTTTTGCCAGCCCCAGAAGTGTAACCATTGCTGTAACTATAGTTCTTTGAGTCTATAAAACTCACTTGATTGCTCAGGAAATGTAATTTGGGAGTGGCGGGAGGTACCTAATAGCCACCTGCAGATTAAAATTTGCATAGGACTATGGGATTATCGCTAAAAGCCTATGTAAACTGTGAGAGGTTTTTTTAACCAGGGCCAAAATCCCCTTGAACAATACTAGTAATTAGGTCTTCTTCTTCTTCTTCTTCTTCTTCTTCTTCTTCTTCTTCTTCTTCTTCTTCTTCTTCTTCTTCTTCTTCTTCTTCTTCTTCTTCTTCTTCTTCTTCTTCTTCTTCTTCTTCTTCTTCTTCTTCTTCTTCTTCTTCTTCTTCTCCTCCTCCTTCTCCTTCTCCTTCTCCTTCTCCTTCTTCTTCTTTTTCTTTTCTAAAACACAGTTTCTCTGTGTGGTTCTGGCTGTCTGGAACTTACTCTGTAGACCAGGCTGGACTCAAACTCACAGACTCTCTGCCTCTGCCTCCCTGAGTGTTGAGATTAAAAGACATCTTGCTGGAAGAAGTTCATTTCTCATTGCAGTGGTCCAGCTTCATCCACGACAACACACCACTTTGGAACACTACCAAGGCCTTGGCTGTGTAGCTGGATGGGTCAAACATCTCTGCTGTGTTTGTTGATCGCTCAAGAAAAGCCAGAAGCCCTGGCTTGCTCCCCCTGACACCACTCCGGCAGCACTGAGCCAGGTCACATGGAGGACAGAGTCACCTGGGTAGATCTGGGGTGTGGCAGGGCATTTGATTCACTATTCATTATATACTCTTTACAGCATATTGTTAAAAAAATGTAAAATCCAAGGTATAATAGCTTAGATACTTAATATTAAATTTATAGGAAACTTCGTGACAGATATGCACATCCCTTTCTTTGTATGTTTTTGTTGTTTAAACTAGCTATTCTTGATCCCGAATCAAGGCTTCAATAAAAAATTGTTTTAATTGTTTCTTTTTAGTTCATCTATTTGAGTGTTTTGCCTTTGTGTATGTATGTGCACCACATGCGTGTCTGATGCCAGCAAAAACTTTGGGTTCCTTGGAGCTGGGGTTAGCAATGGCTGTGAGCCACCATATGGATGCAGGGGCTGAACTCGGGTCCTGTGCAAGGGCAGCCACTGTTCTCCACTGAGGACTCATCTTTCTAACGCTCTTCAAACTCTTTAACAGTCTTGATTACCATGTGCATGTGCCTGGACATGCACACACATGTGTACAAATGCGTGCATGTGTGTTTGTATCTGTGTATGAGCATGTGCCACTGCCCTTATGCAGAGGTCAGAGGACAACTCACAAGGTCAGTTCTTCCTTTCTACCCTGCAGATTTGGGGCCTTTGGATTGAACTCAGGTAGCCAGGTTTGGTGGCAAGCACCTTTGCCCCTGAACCATCTCACTGGCCCAAATTTGTCACACTCTTATTGATACCAACAACAAGAGATTTTGCACAACTGTTAAAAGGTGTTTTATTAGCTGGGCAGTGGTGGAGCACACCGTTAATCCCAGCACTCAGCAGGCAGAGGTAGGCGGATCTCTGTGAGTCTGAGGCAAAGGGAGTCCCAGGACAGCCAAGGCTATTAAACAGGTAAATGCTGTCGTGAAAAGCAAAACAAACAAAAATGTGTTTTATTCATTTTTAAAACCAGTCACAAAATTCCAGTAATACATATGTAAAAATATTTTTAAAACATGAACCTTTAAGATTTATTTTTATTGGTGTGTATGTATATGTGTGTAAAATTGCATTCAGATGCTACTGGAGGCCAGGGAGTTAGATTCCCCTAGAGCTGGAGTTACAGGCAGTTATGAGATGCTTGGCATGGGTGCTGAGAATGGATCTCGGGTCTTCTGCAAGAGCAGCAAGCTGCTCTAACTACTTAGCCAGCTCTTCATCTCTTAAATGATTCTAAAATATTTGTGTGTTTTTACTTATGTGTATGAAAGTTGGTTTTTTTTTGTTTGTGTGTGTTTGTCTGCATGTACGTATGCATACTATGTGTTTGTCTGGTGTTCACTCTCCACAGGAGAGTGTCAAGTTGGAAGCAGATGCAGAGATCCACAGCCAAGCACTGGGCTGAGCTCTGGGAGTCCTGCTGAAGAAAGGGAAGAGGATTGAATCAGGGGGGGTTAAGGTCATGACAAGGAAACCACAGAGACAACTGACCTGGGCTATGATTTCCTGTTTTTCTTTTCACTAATAAAATGTGATGTTGTCATGTGACAGGGGTGCAGATTCATCTAAACTCCTCAGAACCTTTGGTGAGTGACAGAGGAGTCACACTGGAGATGGGGATCCTGGCCTGGCCGCTGGAGCCAGGACTCAGCTTTGGAAGACTGCAGCCCTGAACCCCGTGTACTCTGAAGGCTGCTGCAGCCTGGGTGAGCTCACTCTCAAGTCTGAAGCCAACAGTTCTGATGATGCCAAGGGCCCTGGATCTGCCCAGTGTTTCCATGGATGGCATCAGTTTACTGCCCCCATCAGTCGGTCTCTTCTAGCCTCAGCCTGCTCACCCGTGGAGCAGGAATAGCGTAGTATCTACCATGAAATTAAATGAGTGCCATGCCTGGCACACAGCGAATGACATTTGTATATATTAAATAAAATGTCTAAGCCAGGTGGTGGTGGCGCATGCCTTTAATCCCAATACTCGGCAGGCAGAGGCAGAAGGATCTCTGTGAGTTTGAGGCCAGTCTGGTCTACAAGAGCTAGTTCCAGGACAGAGAAACCCTGTCTAGAAAAACCAATAAAATAAATGTCTAGAGACTTTGGAGTAGAACCTTGCTGTGATTTGGGTGAGTGTTCCCCAGGGGGTCCCTATCGTTTTTTTGTTTTGTTTTGTTTTACTCATCTCCCAGCTCCCATATAAATACACAGAGACTTACTATGAATGCCTGGCCTTTGCTTGGCATGTTTCTAGCCAACTTTTCTAATTTAAATTATCCCATTTCACTTTAACTACATTTTGTCTCTGGGCTGTTTAACCTTCCTTTATTCTAAATATCTTTCCTTACTCTGTGGCTGCCTGTGCGGTTGGGTGGATGACTTCTGGCGTTTTCTTTTTTTCTCTCTCCTGCCTAGCTACTGGCTGCTCAGCTCTTTCTTAGACCAATCAGGTGTTTTAGGCAGGCAAAGTAACACAGCTTCACAGAGTTAAACAAATGCAACATAAAGAATGCAACACATCTTTACATCATTAAACAAATACTCCACTTCATAAATGAATGTAACACATCTTAAATATTTTGCAACAGTTCCCAGGGAGGTGGGATTTTGTGGAGGTCCTTCAGTGTTTGAAAGAGTACTCCCAAAGGTAATTGTGGGACCCTGACCTCTGCTTCCTGGCTAATGGTTAGCACACAGGCATGTGTTTCTTCAATCTTTACAATCCGCCATCCTCACCAAAGGCAGAGCCAAGGGACTCTAGGATTGTAATTTCCAAATTGTGTGTTAATTAAACCTTATCTTTTCTCTCTCTCTCTCTCTCTCTCTCCCTCTTTCTCTCTCTCTCTTTCTTTTTTTTTAGTTAATTGCCTCTAGTGCAGTCATTCTCAACCTTCCGAATGCTGTAATTCTTTAACTCTTTAATACAGTTCTTCATGTTGTGGTGACCTCCAACCATAAAATTGTTGTTGCTACTTCATAACTGTAATTTTGCTACTGTTATGAATCTTTTTTTTTTCCCGGACAGGATTTCACTGTAGCTTGTAGACCAGGCTGACCTTGAACTCACAGAGATCCACCTGCCTCTGCTGCCTGAATGCTGGGATTAAAGATGTACACCACCACCACCACCCCTGTTATGAATCATAACAGGTGACCCCTGTGAAAGTGTTGTTTGACCCCAAAGGGGTCATGAGCCATAGGTTGAGAACCACTGCTCCAGTGTTTTGTTGTAATATGAAACTTACTAGTACAACCCCTAAACCATGTGCTCATTGAAATGTTCTAAATTCTGGCTCTCACAGTTTCTAGACATGGCCATAAGCAAGTTATCCAGTCTTCCCAAGCCTTGGTGCCCTGGTCTAGACATGACGACCCTGGAACCCATGGTGTAGGGACACACAGGGAAGGGAGCGGGCATATGCAGGGCTGGGAACAAGACAAGTGCTCCACAAGTGATGGCCCAGCCAGGAACTGAGAAGGCAGAACTCTACTGCCCGTGCCCTGGCCCTGCCCGCCCACCTCCTGTGAGTGACACCTCCCCAACTGAAACACGACTAACCTGTCAAACTCTTCCACAGGTGATTTGAAATCTTCTCAGGATAGATCATCTTGAATCCTTTATTATTTTTCTCATTTATGTACTCTTTAAAAATCACATTTATTTATTTACTAATTTATTTAGTGGGTGTCTATGTGGAGGTCAGAAGACACCTTTGTTGGTTCTCTTTCCACTATGTCAGTCCTGGGGATCAATTTCAGGACATCAGCCTTGACAACAAGTACCTTTACCAACTGAGCCTTCTTGCCAGCCATTCATCTATAGACTTCTGAGATGGTTTTTCCATTTCTCTCAGAGGCAATACTAAGAATGGGCATAGGAACTGTGGTGAGGGCCGGCACTAAGGGAGCTCCTTTGCAGAGGTATCAGGGCTGCTGGCGACGGCTGTCTTTCTGAGTCGGAAGCATGCTGAACACATCCTTCCTGATTTGTATTTTATTAGGAAGTCATATCAGACGATCAGTTATAAAAACCTTAAACATTAAATAAATCATTTTTATCAGACACACGATTCATGGAGGCATACCAGGCTTCTCATGAAGGTCAAAAATGAAGTCAAGTCTGGCATCTCATTTTAGAAACACTTTTACATTTAATACTGTGGAAAAGAAAACGACTTTAAAAAAGCATCATTGATTCCATACAAATGTTAACACTGAGGAATATAGTTTAAGATCTGCAAGGTCAGTGAAATAAGTCATCTTTTATTAAAATATGTCTCTCTCCACCATATACAAATATGTTCACTCTTTAAATAAATATATTATGATTTTATTTATATTTTCTTGTGTGTACATGCTTATGAATGTTCTGGTGTGTGTGTGTGTGTGTGTGTGTGTGTGTGTGTGTGTGTAGGTCAAAGGACAGCATCAAGTATCACTCCTCAGGTGCTGTCCACCATTTTTCTTTGAGACAGGGTCTCACTTGGCCTGAAACTCACCTAGGCAAGCTGCCCTGTGAGTGTCAGAAATCCACCAGACTCCACTTTCCCAGCACTGAGATTACAAGTATGTGCCACACACCCAACTTTTTGTTCCATAGGCTCTGGGGAACAGATTGACATCCTTGTGCTTATAAGTCAAGGCTTTTACCAACTCAGCTTTCCCCCTGTCCACCCCACCCCCCACGCCTCTGTATTTTTATTCTGTATTGTCTGGGGGCCCTAGGATGGAACACAGGGCAGCCCACAGGTCGAGCATACACTTAGCTGCGGAGCCACACTCCAAGCCTTGCTGTTTATGTTTATTTTGATTTATATGTGACTGCAGGTCTCATGTGTGCAGGTGCCCTCAGAGGCTGGAAGTGAGCACGAGATCTGGAGTTACAGGTGGTCATGAGCCACCTGATTTCGTTACTGGCAACTCAACTTAGGTCCTTTGCAAGGACAGCAGGCACTCTTAGTCCCGTGAGCCGTCTCTCTAGGCCCTGGTTATGTATTTATAGTGAAAACTGACTTGACAGCATTCACCTGGTGCTGTGAGGCCATGGACTTTACAAGTGGAGTAAGTAAGAAAAACAAATACCAAAACATCAGGTATAACCAGTGTGGCGTTTTGAATTGGAATGGCTCCATAGGTTTGTAGGTTTGAATGCTTAGTCTCCAGTTGGTAGACTTGTTTGGGAAGGATTAGGAGGTATGGCCTTATTGAAGGAGGTTTGTCACTGGCTTTGATGCTTCAAAAGAGCGGTGCCATTTCCCAGAGTACTTCCTATCTCTTGCTCGCCACTCAAGATGTAAGCACTTAGCTGTTTTCTGCCACCATGCCTTCCTTCTGCAAGCATGGATTCAAACCCTCTGAAACTGTAAACCTAATTAAACCCTTTCTCTTCTAGGTTGCCTTGGTCATGGTGTTTCATTACAGCAATAAGAAAGCAGCTAAGACAACCAGGTCCCACGCAGCAGTATTTGCTTGGTCCTGTCCCGCCTCCACTCAGTTGGCCTCACATGGGGACTTCAGAGTCGTCAGAGGACTCATCTGCAAACAAAAGTTCATCTGGTGGTGGGCTCCCCAAGGGGAGCGTGCTGCTGTGAGACCAGGAGATCCCATTTTTGCTGAGTTTGTCCTCTGGTGAGACAGCATCCTTTCCAGGGGGGGCTGTAGCAAAAGGAGTGGAGGCCACATCTTCCCATTCTTCACCCACCCCGTTCAAGATGTATCTTTCCTCCTGGAGGCTGTTCTCATGAACTTCGGCTGTGACCACGCTGATGGTGGCACTGGGAGCGCAAGAGGCAATGATGGAGTCAGGATCAATGTTCATGTCCAGCCCAGCGAGGGAGGGCCCGTTGGCCAGGCCCTCGCAGCTCTCTAGCAACTGGGTATTGATGTAGATGATGGACTCTTTGTCCTGCGCATCAGGCAGGCTCTCGGAGAGCTTTTCCAGCTGCAGTCTCAAGGTTGAGAAGGTTGGTCGGTCCAAGGGGTCAGCACTCCAGCAAGCGTACATGATGTCATACCTGAGGATGACAGACGAGTGAGTGCCACCTGGGACAGACCCAGATCATCCCTTCCTCCTCACCTAGTCTTGAACTCCATTCTGTTTTAATCAGCGTTCATTCCACCTTTTATGGAAATAAACGAGTTTTTGGTTTGTGTGAAGAGAAATGGTTATTCAACTTTTTGAATGTTTCATGTGTGTGTGATATGTATTTGTGCATGTGTATATAGAGGCTGGGGGTACCTGGTATATTGCTCTATTCCCTCTTTACTTCATTCCTTTCAGACAGGGTCTTTCATTGAAGCAGGAACTTGCTGTTTTGGCTAGACTGGCTGTCCAGTGAGCCCCAAGGATCCACAAGTCTCTACCCCTCACTGCTCTGAGGTTACAGGTGGACCATAGCCATACCAAGCTTCTTACATGGGTGCTGGGCAAGTACTCTTCCCTACAAAGTCATCTCCTCAGCCCCTTGTAAAAAACCAGTAATTCTGTTTCTAAAAATAGAAGATGCACCTCACAATTATACTTACTTTTGCAAAAAAAAAAGGGATTAATGTCCATCAAACTAATCATCTGCTCCGTAAATAAAGTTTTATTAGAACACAGCTATGCCTAGTTATGTGCTGCTGTCTGTGACTGCTTTTGCTACAATTGTAGCACTGAGTGGGGGCTACAAAGACCCTCAAAGCCTCAATTATTTACTATTTGTATTTTACTATGGTGATTTAAATGAGTGATCCCCACGGGCTCATCTATTTGAATGTTTTAGTCTGCAGCTGGTAGACTAAAGGGAAGGACTAGGAGGTGTGGCCTTGATAGAGGAAGTATCCCTGGGGGTAGGCTTAGAGACTCAAAGTCCAGTTGCAAATCTCTCTCTCTCTCTCTCTCTCTCTCTCTCTCTCTCTCTCTCTCTCTCTCTCTCTCTCTCTCTCTCCCTTATGCTTTTGGACGGTCATGGACTCATCTCTAAAACTGTAAGCCAGTCTCCAATTAAATGTTTTCTTTTGTAAGTTGCCTTCGTCATTGTGTCTCTTCACAGCAATAGAAAAGTAGCTAAGACACTTACCAAACAAGTTTGATAATCCCCGTCTTTACCATTAAACAGGATTGTGACCAAGAACGCTGATTTAGTTGGGCTGGTTTAGTTGGAGCAGGGAACTAAGCAAGAAGACCCAGAGCTAGAGTGTGGCACACGAGGGGTGACTAAGTGGCGTGTAGTGTGTGTCACTCCCTTCTGATCTTCCTGACAGCTCTGCCACTGCACTTTATAAATGAAAGCACAGGCCCGGGGCTCATAGGTAGCAGAGGGAAGCAGAGAAATGAGGGTCGGGTTGGGTGAGTCCATCACACAAGTGCTCCTCCAGACCATTCTGCTGAGTTCTCCAGGGGACGTTCCCCTCTGCCAGGCAACATCACCTCCAAGGTCTATTATCATGAAGGATTACAATCGAGGGACACGGGAAGGGTATGACAACTGGAAACTACTGGGCTGTGCAAGAGCCATGCCAGCGTTTCATTTTGATCCTTCCTGCTTTGGGAAATTGATATTAATATCACTGAACAAGCAAACTGAGCGGAAGGCCCGAGGGATGGTTCAGAGGTAAAGAGCACTGACTGCTCTTCCAGAGGTCCTGAGTTCAACTCCTAGCACCCAAATGGCAGCTCACAACCATCTGTAGTCCCATGGGATCTGATGCCCTCTTTTGAATACGTAAAATACACACATAAATACACCTTTAAAAAGAAAAAAAGAAAATTGACCCGAGTCTAAATTATCTGATTCATGCCGATTACTGGTTTCTCAGGAACAGAGACGTGCAATTCCCATTTTTACATTTACATATAATCTATAGATCCTTGGGTTAATCCTAGAAAGTGTTAGTCCTCATACACAGCACACAGATCTCATCTGTGCACACGTGACTTTCATTGGTCTAGTTCAACCTTATTTACCGGGACTGTTACTTGCTTCTGGAACGTGGAAAAGGAGTGGAACCTCAACCCAGAACTCCACCCTGACACCCGTCTCCCTCACAGTCCTGTTCCATCTTTGCCCCAGGAGTTCCTTTTAGTCTTCCTAACTCGCTCTCAGTAGCTAGTCACTTAGACGGGGCAAACAACCTTTGCTCCTGTATTTGAGGTTTTCACACCATCCGTCAATTTGCAGGCCTCCAATTTTACAGAGGGACTTACTTGTTTGCTCAGCTGGGCTTTGAGAAATTCAGTCCTTAGGGACATAACATCCTTTTCATTACTGTTCCCATGCTGGCTAATTCCCTTCCTCTTACTCCACGTCTTAGAAGAAAGCGCTAAGTGACCCATCTTTAGAGAGAAAAGTAGCAGTGCTATCGTGAAATTTATTTTCCTTTTCCTGTCTAATACTTTATGAGAATATAAGTGTGATATAGTACATATATATGATATATGAGAAGGACCTTGTTGCATAGCCAGGGCTGGCCTCAAACTTTTGACCTTCCTGCACAGCATACCTCACTATGCCCATTTTAAATATGACTTTCAAAGATATGATAATGGGCTAGGAGACCACAGGAAGATGGTATCCAGAAGCAATCCATTACCAGATTAAAATTGTAATTATCTGTCTGTGTACTTAGGATGGTACCAGGGCCTGTGCATACTAGGCAAGTTCTCTACCACAGAGGTACCCCAGCTTGTGATTATAATATTTGAGAATCTCTTTGGTTGCTGTCTAAGCAATGGAGGAGAACCCTTGGAGAAGGGAGTTGAAGGTTCTACCCCATACACTGTATTTATGTTATGATGTCATCATGATGGGAATGAAATCCCTGGTTTCTGTGATGTCAGTGTCAGAAATGGGAGAGGAAGGAGATGGGGATGCTTGTTTGTTTTTTAAAGTTTTATTTATTCTCACTTTATATGTACAACATATGGGTGTTTTTTCCTGAATGAATGTCTGTGTACTGTATGCATGCACTGCCCACAAAAGCCAGAAAAGGTGTCAGGTGCCCTGAAACTGGAGTTACAGACTGTTAACTGCCATGTGGGTGCTGGGAATTGAACCCAGGTCCCCTTGAAGAATAAACAGTTTTGTTCTGTAATAACCAGTGTAATTGGTGAGAGATACCTCTTCAGTTCTGCTTTCCTTCCTTCCTTCCTTCCTTCCTTCCTTCCTTCCTTCCTTCCTTCCTTCCTTCCTTCCTTCCTTCCTTCCTTCCTTCCTTCCCTTTTTGTTTCTCTTTCCCTCCCTCCCTCCCTCCCTCCCTCCCTCCCTCCCTCCCTCCCTCCCTCTTTCCCTCCCTCCCTGCCTTCTTTCCTTCCTTCTTTTTTTTTTTTTCCAAGACAGGTTCTTGTAATGTAGTACTTGGATCTTGAAACTTACTATATAGAGAAGGCTCACCTCAAACTCAGAGATCAGCCTGCCTCTGCTAGGATTAAAAGTGTGTGCTACCATGCCCAGTGAGGAAAGGAATTCTAGATTCTGAAGAATAACTGCTGGCCAACAGGATCCTGTGGGGAATAAGACTGACAGAGGATGAAGGAAGGGTTCTCGTGCCATGGACCACTGTAGACAGCTGGTGAGGAAGGCTCAGAGGATGCCAGGGGGGTCATAAAGAGCACAGCTTAGGGAAATGTCCTACAGAAGTTGATCGAAGCATAGCAGAAAGTGGCATCCGGGGTAGCAGGAAGCAAGACTGACAACATTCTGGTCCTTCCATGATAGGAGTGATACTGTGAGGAGAGGTGACCCTCTGAGGAGCAGGCTTGGAGAGTAGGGACCAAGGGGCTCTGTGACTGAGATCTGTCTACCCCCCAGCCCCGCTTCTCCTTCTATTCCTGGATCTTTTCCTCACTCCCTTATCTCTTTGTTTTACAGTACCGGAGACTGAGCATAAGAACTTGTGCAAGCTAGGCCAGCTCCCTCACCACTGAACTACATTCGTAGTTGATGTAGCTACATTTCAGATAGCTCAAAGAAGCCAAAGAGTAGCTGCACACAGGAGTGCATTCATCCCAGCCAGGCTCGGACTCCGAGAAGCTCAGAATATTCATTTTGTGTTTTCTTTTTAAAAAAGAATGTCCCAGAACAGGAAGCACAGAGGCCTCTTTGGGAGATGCTGCTGCTTGCCAGCAAACACATAGGACTCAGAAATAAAGCCTGCTTCACCAGACTGCTGACCAGAGTGCATCTGCAAGCCCGGGGCATGCAGCCATTAGGAACATGGGGACTGTAGCCTGCTACAACCACCTGGGTCCCCCGCCATAGAAGGGGAGCTGAGTCTGTCTCTGCCACCTAAAAAGTGTTCTCAGAGAACACCAGCTCAGCAGTCTCTTGTTTTAGTCTGAAGTGAAACACATAAAAACCACAGTGTGACACAGCTTAGACCTCACTCAGACCCAGACTGACCTTTGCTAATGTCAGCTTCTGCTGGTATAGGGGGATGGCTCAGAAAGAAACCACAACAAAACTTCCTGGGCAGTGTGGCTACATAGGAAAGCTTCCTCATTTCCAGAAGCCAACATTTCATTAACACAGCCCTTTATAAAACTACCGTGAAACCCTAGAACGAATCAAATCAGGACTTTAAGATGTTTTCAAGAGACTTACATACAGCCTTTGTTTCTGCTCAGTATTAGATTTCTTCAACCACAAAGCGGGCTGTGGCTGGGAACAAAACAATCTTCCTTGTGTTTGGTTTAGAGTCTGAGCCATAAATGGACCTAGGGTGTTGTGTACAAGGTGATCTAGCCCTGTGTGCAGAATGGGGCAGCAGGGACAGAGCTTGGGATGGGCCTGAGGGTCTTGCATCCCATACGCTGCTCCATGACAGAGTTAGTTCAGGCCTATGTTTTATTAATGTTCTTACTAAATATGATGAGAATATCCCAAGCCCATGGCCCTTGAAGGAACCTCACCATCAAGGCGGTAGTGGCGCATGCCTTTAATCCCAGCACTCAGGAGGCAGAGGCAGGCTGATCTCTGTGAGTTTGAGGCCAGCCTGGACTACAAGAGCTAGTTCCAGGACAGGCTCTAAAAGTACAGTGAAACCCTGTCTCGAAAAAACAAAACAAAACAACAAAAACAAAACAAAACAAAACAAACAACAACAACAAAAAACCCTGTATGTCATCACTGCAAGACATTGTCTTGAAAAGCTCAGAGTGCTTGGGGAGATCAAAATGGAATGACGAGGCTGGGAAGATGGTTCAGTGGATAAAACACTTGCGTCACAGGCCTGAGGACCAGAATTTTGATCCTCAGCATGCATACAGTTAAAGTGGCTCGCCTACATTCCCAGTCATCAGAATGTGAAAAGTCAGGATGCTTGGGGACAAGCCAGCTTGCTAGACAAGTCAAATCCCTGAGCTCCAGGTTCAGCCAGAGACTCTGCCTCAGTAGATAAAAGTGGAGATCAATTGAGGAGGACACCAATCTCAGTCTCTACATATGCGCATGTATACGACACACAGGTGTACACCCCACACATGCAAACGCACCACGATGGTTAGTGTTATCCACTTGTCAGACTCCATATCATCTGGGAGATGAGCCTAGGAGCATGGCTGTGAGATATGATCTCGATTACCTTAACTGACATGGGATGATTCTTCTTAACTATGGGCGGAACCATTCCCTAGGCTGGTGATCCTGGACTGTATGAGAAAGGGGGCTGAGAAACAGCAAGAATTCTCTACTCTCTGTTCCCTATTGTGGATGTGATGCGACCAGCTGTGTCAAGGTCCTGTCGCCTTGACCTCCCTACTGCGATGGACAGTACCTTGAACTGTGAGATGAAATAAACCCCTCCCCACCTCGGTTGCTTTTGTCAAGAGCCACAGTTCTCCGAAGAACATACATTATGTTGCTTATGATACGAGGGACAGAGAGGTTAAGCCAGCTGCCATGGCCATGCATGTGTGTCCGGCTCTAACACCTGGGTCTCCTTCTATGATGCATGGCACTGAAGACAGAGAGGTCTGTCTTGATCGGCTGTGCTTTGTGATGGGAGTTGGGACAGTTCACACCTGGATAAGCACAGGTCTTCAGGGAACATTTTAAACGTAGGATTTCTAGGTCCACTTTGTGCCAATAGCACCACAGCCTCTAGGCACAGGACTAAGCAATTGCATTGGCAGAATCCTTCCCAAGCCAGTTTGCTCTCAAAGGCCCTGGTCCAGGTTCCTGAGTGTGAGCAGTATGTTTGAAGGCATAGGGGAAAAGGAGGACTGGGTTCAAAGTGAGTAAGGGCTAAAGGATCCCAGTACCTCATATACTATAAAGCAAGCCTATTTATTGGCAGCGTCTACTTCCTAGTGGTTCTTAGATTGTTGTTTAGAAACATATACTGGTACCTTGTCTCGACTGTGCCCATTGATGGAGGTTGAGATCTTTTGGATAAGTGAGCCACAGTGGGCTCACAGGAGCTGAGCATACACTACCACCTGCATCAGGAATGCCTGCTGGCCCGCTTCCATGAGCAGCGCTCTCTGCACGGGCTCTCCTGGCTAACAGTGGGCCCTACTCGCCCTAGCCATGCCTGTGGCTCCCAAGTCACTGCACAGCCAGGTAGCCGCCCCCCGCGCAGAAAGCCCGGTGACATACGGATGCTCACTTACAGTTCATCCAGGCAGTCCTCCGGCTGCTTCAGCCTGTGGCCATGGAGAAGGTAATCATACATTTCATGGTTCTGGACTCCAGGGTAGGGAGTCATTCCCCGTGTGGCTATTTCCCACATGGTCACGCCAAAAGCCCACTGAGAACAAAGCCACAAGAAGTTAGGACAGAAGTCTTTCCACGACTGCTGAATGGATGTTTTCATGGGGAAAGGTCATTTCCTTAAAGCTCTGGTGACGAAGCACAAAGCTGGTAATTATGCCTGCGGCCCACTGTTCTCCCAACAAAACAACATGGGGGTGAAGCCCCGTAGTTCCCCATTTGTACCAATGCTATTCTGGGAAACTTGGCTAAAGGCAGATAGAGCCCCATCCCATATCAACACTGCTCATTTCGCTGTTATCCTTTTGCTGTGGAGTGCTTCCTTCCCCCAAGCTTGGATCAAGGGTGTAACTACATAGCATCTTCTATAGAGCAGATGGGTTCCAAAGGCTACCAAATGAACTCATTCAATCTAATGTGACTATCTCAGTTATGGGCAACAAGTCATTCATTTGTAGGAAAGAAACAGGGCAATCTCTGCAGGTCATATGTGGAGCATAGGTTTCTGGATGTGAGCACTTCACCACAATCTACTGTGCCGGAATTAAAGCTTCTACAAGATATAAAAGTCAGGTTTAATGGTGCACATTTGAAATCCCAGCTGCCGAGGAGGCTGAAGCAGGAGGATGGGGAGTTCAAGGACTTTCTAGGTTACAGAGATAGACCCTGCTTAAAAAAAAAAAAAAAAAAAAAGGCAGAGAGGACTGTAGAAGTGGCTCAGTGATTATGATCACTGTCTGCTCTTCTAGAGGACCTGGGTTCAATTCCCAGCACCCACATGGGGGTTCACAACCATTGGTAATTCCAGTTCCAGGGGATCCAGCAGTCTTCTGCCTCTATGGGCCCTAGGCACACACATGATGCACAGGTATACATACATGTAGGCCAAACATCCATACACATAAAAATTAATAAAAAGTAAAGGGGGCTGGAGAGATGGCTCAGTGGTTAAGAGCATCCATTTTGACTCATAATCACCTGTGATTGGCTCAGGCTCCAGGGGATCTGATGCCTCTGGCCTCTGAGAACACCTGCATACATGTGCAGATACACATACTTATACACATAATTAAAATAAAATTAAGTCTTAAAAGTATGGAAGAGCGAGGTTGAGAAATTATATTAGAAAGTTCTTGTAGCATGTGCGAGGTCCTAGGGTCAATTCCAGGACCACAGAAAGCAAACAAATGAGTAAATGAGTTACACTAAAGCATGGTCCGAGCATGCTGCCAACCCTCAGTTTATCAGAGCGTAATTCTCTGCGTCATCACTCTCAGCCATTGCCTTCAGTGTGTCCCCACCTTTGTCAAATAAAGTTGTATACACACCACGTCACTTTTGCTCGTGTAGACTCGGTCAGCCAGGCTCTCTAGGGCGATCCACTTCACAGGCATTTTGGCAATGCGGCCTTGGCGGTAATAATCACCACTGTAAATCTTCTTCGAGAGGCCAAAGTCTGCTACACAGACTGTCATGTCATCTCGTAACCTGTGACGAACGAATTCGGGTCCTCAGCAACCTCAGGAGGGAGAGCATTTAATCCCAGGTCTGCATCAATGCATGAAAAGCAACTAAAGACACAGGGAAGTTATAGATGCGGCTCAGTTCTAACTGTGCTTGCTTTGCTTCCCAGCACAGCATAAATGGGAATGGTGGTGCATGCTTCTACTCCTAGCACTTGGGAGGTAGAAGCAGGAAGAGAGAAGGCTCGATGTCATCCTCAGCTGCTTGGTAAGTTCAAGGCCAGACTGGGATTCATGGAGAGGAGAGGAAGGGAAGGAGCAAGAAGGGAGAAGGAAGGAAGGAAGGGAGGGAGGAAGGGAGGGAGGGAGGGAGGGGAAGACATGGAGCCCATGGGTTTAGAGTAAGGGATTGCTTTAAGATCAAAGACACAGGAAATAATAGGCACCAGGCATCTCTGTATTCCATCACTCTGTCCCAGGCACAGAGGCTGGAAGCACTAGGGTGGGGGGGACAGAGAAATGGCAGAACAGGTGTAGAAGAAACATCATCTCCTCCAGGTCCTTTTGTGGATGACATCATGCCATGGCCATCCTGCTTCATGTCTGGAGCGTGGAGGGGAGGCACAAGAGGAGGTGAAGCCTGGGAGGTGTGGGAAGCACACAATGAAAGATGCGGCTGAAGGATTTCTTGCTAATGTGGCCAGCTGTTGGAGGAATGAACTGGAAAATTGAAGGGAAATTGCAACCATAGCCCAAGCTAGTAAAACAGGTCCTAAACAAGCAGGAAGAGAAGGGAGACAGAGAGGAGACAGGGAAGGGAGGAGACTGAGCTACTTGTTTGCCTGACATTAACTTTGTTATTTTTAATGACAGAGTATCATGTAGCCCAGGTTGGCCTGGAATGTGTCTTGCAGTTGAGGATGACTGAACTGTGGATCCTCCCATCTCCATCTTCTGAGTGTGGGGAGTACAGGTATGCACACCCTAAAGTCCCACACTTTCAGTTCAGGGCAAACTAGACAGGCGGTTCTCCTATGTGGCAGGAAAAACATGAAGGAAATATTAAAAGAAAACTAACATCTCATGATTCTCTAGCCACAGTTGAAAAGCAGTAACAAACCCCAAATTCCCCTGGAGTTTTCAAAACTGAAGTAAAAGGGGAAGGGGATGCGGTTGAGAAGTGTGAGTGGCCATCTCTACTGTCAAACCTGTGACCAAGAAAAACACACATGGGTCACTCCCTCTTCTCACAACGGGGAAGTTAAAGTCAAGAAACAGTTATGGTGTTTAAAGATTGCCATCAGGTGATGGCTCTGTTGAAGCATAGTAAAGAAACGGAGAGAATTCAAGTTCAGAATTCTTTTTTTTTTAAACATTTATTTATTTATTTATTATGTATACAATATTCTGTCTGTGTGTATGTCTGCAGGCCAGAAGAGGGCATCAGACCTCATTACAGATGGTTGTGAGCCACCATGTGGTTGCTGGGAATTGAACTCAGGACCTTTGGAAGAGCAGGCAGTGCTCTTAACCACTGAGCCATCTCTCCAGCCCAAACTTTTGTTTTCTTAAAACTTAATGTATGAAATTGCTAATTTTTGGTTTTGCCTAGATTTTTTTTCTCACTAAAGCAAAATTTTCCTATTTCATTCAGTTTTTGTTTTGTTTTGTTTGTGTTTTTAGTTTTGGGAGGCAAGGTTTCGTTATGTAGCTGAGGCTGATCTGAACTTGCTATGTAGACCAGGCCAGCCTAATACTTGGCCTCAAAGCAGTCATGCCTCTGCC